AGTAGATAGTTGTATGTCATAGTTGCACATCCTTCTAGTTGCTGTATGTGGGACACGGCCTCAGCATGGCCGGAGAAGCGGTGCGTCGGTGCGTGCCCGGGATCTGAACCCCGGCCACCAGCATCGGAGTGCGAGCACTTAACCGCTAAGCCACTGGGCCGGCCCTACTTTTTAAAATCTTTACTGAGTATTTTTAAATTACAAATGTAGTGCATGCTCACTGTAAAAAAAAAATTTATTGTAGAAGTATATAAAGGAAAAAGTGAAAATCCAGCACACAGCCCCACTCCCTAGAGGTAACCATGATTACCATGAAGTCAAAAACATACACTGCACTCATAAAATAAGATTACATCATAAACAATATTTTTGCAACTTGCTTTTTTTAAGGTTAACAATATGTGTGGGAGGTTTTCCATTCTGTACGTACAAAAGTATGTAATTGCTTTTCATGATTGACAGCATCCCGTAGTTTGGCTGTACTTGTTTGAAGTTAATCACTCGGCCCACTCTTGATGGACTGACAGGTTGTTGTACAGTTTCCATAAGGTTTCTGAATATTCTGTACTGGAGGATTTCAGCTGGGCTTCCTACACGTGTTCCCTTCCCTCCACAGTGGGAGTTCACCTGGTGTTGGGGCCTAGTGTCCATCTCGTTAGGAAAAGCTTAGGAGACAACTTTTTTGTCTGCCGTGATCATCTCTTGTCGAGGAACATGTGAGATATTTATCTAAAATACCGTTTGTGTAATCTTTATAGTAGAGTTTCACAAGGCAACTTTGGGCCAAATATTTATGGCCCAGGTTTAGCTGAAACCCAAACAATGGCTAGGCACTTCTTCCAGAGAGAAGAGGTGTTCCTGTCCTTTGGCAGTTGTTTTCTAGAGAGATGTGTTATAAGCTGCTTTACATTTTTGTGGTTTTAAGATAAAACGGCCTCAACCCAGTAAATAATGTATGGGAAAAAAACATGATCACAGGGAAGGATTTTGAAAAGTCTAGGCTCATCATGCCAATAAAAAAATCCAAGACAGTTGCAGCTTTTCCAAAGCGTGTTAACCCTGCAAGGAGGTGTGGATGGCTTGATCAGGTTTCCTCTTTGTGTTCAAGGTCTAGATAAGATCTTGGAATAAGCATGCTTTTCAGATGTCCCGATTATCCTCAAAAGTACCTGACTTGCCCTTAGTTCTGGGAGCCTTCCAGTCCCTAATAGCACCTATCTTATCTCACAGGGGGTTTTGTTATCCTACCTTATATCCCAAGTATTTGAACTCTGAAGTCCAAATTGGCTTTTACCATGTTTTATGGCCAGACCAGCTTTACAGATTGCACTTAATACAAACATATTCCAGATGTTGTCTATACCCTGGCTGAAAAGAGCTGTGTTATCACCATGTATGTAGCAGATTCCTCTGTGGAGTGGAACTTCCCCAGATCAGGGTAGGGGACACTGATGTCTGTTGGTTTTTTGTGTCTAGAGCTTCCTCTTTCTCCTTTTTTTCCCCAGTCATATAGCACTTTCTCCATCGGGTCAGGTCGTTCAGGGCTGTCAGCTCTAAACTAAGCCAGCTCCACTTCCCTATCTCTACTGCCTGACCACTTGTTTGAGGATAAATTATAAAATATTTTACTAAAATAGTTCCCCAGACCGATTTTTTTTCCGAAATTCTATTTGTCAGTAAAGTAAAATTTGCATCCCAGAAATTTATCGACAAACTTCTGGCAAAGACTGAACATCACTGTGAAAAAAGTTCCGCATAGGATTTTCAGCTCAACATCAGGAAGATATTATCCAAATTCATCCTGTTAACCCACAAGTTATAATTTGATGATTTGCCTTAAAGTTATTTTGAAAATCTTGTCAAGATGAAAAAGTGAAGAAACATTTTGGTGCAATGTTGGATAGCATACATACCCAAGTGGGCTTGCCATGATGTTTAGGGAGACAAATTCAAGGCCTCCAGTTTGAAGAACATATGAAAATATGTTTATGCTACTGAAATGGTCCCATATATATTCACACCCCTCTGTCCTCCCGATATAGTTATAACACAATTTTTGGTTAAATCAATATTCAGTGCTTATCTTAATATGACTTTGTTAGTATTGTTTACTACTGAGCCAAGTAATTTTCTGTTGCTATAGTTCTTTCCTTCCTTGTATGACATTTTGCTCTCTTTGCAATTAATAGTTACCTCACTATTTTAGTTAGCACACTATTCACTATCATTAATTCTTCCAGACCAACCAATAAAACCTTTTTGAATAATATTTTTCCTCACTATCTGATATGTCAGGTATGTTATTGGTTTCATGTTTTTCTTAGAGCTAT